CGGGTAGGCTGTGCCGGCACCCCCCGGCTTGCGGGGTGCGCGCTGCCCCCGCCGCGGAGAGGGGGGGGCCTTCGAAACCGTGCGTGTGCCCGGTGTAGCCGGGCAAGTCATACCCTCGGCTCTGCTCCGCGATTTCTCACATCGTGTGTTTTCTTCTTCCATATTAATTGCTGGCTACTTAGATTGTTCCTGAAATACTTGAACGCTTTCAATTGATGAAATTTGGAACTTTCTAGAGAAATCCTCAGAAGATCTCAGATACCAGGTCTTGTCTGAAGTTTTGCTTTCCAAACACTTGCAAACAGCACTGTGTGAATGGAAGGTTTCTGGTCTTCTCGCTGTTAGCACTACTGTTACTCAAGCGAATCTGTGCACTTAAGTGCCTTTCAGCTTCTCGCATCGGTTGTTTCTACAAGCTGAGACCTGCAGAAGACTGTATCGCAGTTATTAGAAACAGGATGTGAGGGATAGAAACATGTAAAGCTGAGCTCTAAATTGGAATTTCTTTAATCTAAAAAGCGCTACTGAAAACTGTATGATGGGGATGGATTGCAGGGCTGGACCACAGGAAGAACTATATTACCTGCTCTGTGTATGATTAGTGGAGTTTGGATGCGTGCAGAAGAAAGACAATTGCTTAATCACCCTCTAGCAAATTTATTCTGAATTATAAAGCTTCTTTAAAACAGATGCTATTGTTCAGTGCAGCCCTGTAGGTTTATCCTGTATATCTTATGAACCATAAGCTGAAAAGTCCCGGCTTGCAATCGGATGAGTAGACATTCTTTTACCTTCTTGTTTTGTGTAAAGTTGAGACATACGCCTTCCTTGGCAGTATGAATGCTAGCGAGCGTGATCTATAGCCTCCACAAACATGGAAGAGGCTGTCTGAAACAGGTCTTGTACACTGGAATAAAAGCAGGTCTGGATATTACTGAGCTTAGAGTTTAACAAGTTACCAGGTTTGAAAGGACAATGTTATTCTATACAGGACTATAGGCAGCACTTTATGACAATTTTATACTGGAAGGCTTGGGTTTCTCTTTCAGGTGGTTAAGATCTAACACCCATTTTGTAAGAATCCTTTTGCAACCACCCACCACCCCCCCAAAAAAAAAAAAATAAAAAAAATTCCAGCCTTATTTGCATGATGTTAGTTCACTTCAGTAGGGACTGGGAGAAGGTAGAAAGAAAGGGCAACAAAAAACCCTTTCTGGATTCCAGTAACAAAAAGTTGTGGGGATAGAAAGTAAACTAAAAAATGAATGCAAGGTGAAAAATACGTTCACTGTTTAGTTGCTTATGGACTATTTACTTATTAATCAGTAATGCACATCATTTCCTTGCTGTTCCCTTACAATTTGTAAAGGCACTGGGATTTCTTCCTCCTGCAGTTTGTCCTGTTGCTGACATGCTCTTCCACTGGGGTAGGGGTTTTGGGGTTTTTTAGTTAGTGTTGATGTTTATTGCTGCTTAAATCTGCAGCGCTCTCATGAACAGGTCCAGATGGCACGTGGATTGTGAACAGGTTTCGCTGTGAGGGCCCATCCTGAAACAATGACAGTCATCAGCATGCACAGAGGAGTTACTTATTTTACAAGGACAATCTGCTTGAGGGTAGGATGGTAGATTGAGGAGGACACTGCCATGTAGCCTGCTGTATTGTGCACATCTGTTGTTCATAGAAACGTAATAAATGATTGGGTTTGTGTGTGGGCTGTTTGTTTTACTGCCTTGGGCTGGCGGGATAGCTTTGCCTGTAGTACTATGATAATAGTGCCATTGCATGGACTCCTGTGGTATGCTGAACTGGCAGTAGAACTTTAGCTGCTTTCTTCTTTGCCTTTCTAACACTATGAATTTTCTTTTCATACGTTGAAGGCAATAGAGCCCCAGTATTGTTATTAACTTGGATATTCTAGTTATCTGTTATAAGAATTAATTTTCATGGGATCTTGTTGCTTGTTTTCCAGGAGCAGGTAAATAATACTGCAGCAGACCAGGTTCCTCCTTTAAAAAGAAATAAAATTTATCTAAGAAGCAGGGCTTTTCCTGCCTGTATTGGTTACTTCTGAAGCGTGTGTGTCCATTGGGTCTGTGTTGTTGTGTGCCCCCATTCCCCACTGGGATGTGAGGGAGCGCTGTAAACATGACTTTCCTTGTCATTGCAAGCTTGGAACCAGGTGTGAGGCCAGCTGTGGAATGATGCTTCCCAGTAGAAGAGCAAGGGTGGATTCTGGGCAGTTTAAGAAAGTATAGAAGGGGGAAAGAGGCAGTGTTCCTGTCATGAAAACTCAGTATTACAGTAACTCTCAGATAAAACTGCCCTCACTTGTTTCAAGTAGAAGAGTTTTCTGGGGATCAGATTCTTCTGTTTGCCTGAAATTGTAAGGTTTGATTTATTAATTTTCTGTTCATATATTCAAATTCAGTTCAACCTGTGTGAAATGAAGATGCTATGAAGTCTCCTCTAAAATGTAGCATTTGGGTGGTAAGATGCATTTGTTTGTTTTAGTCTTATGTGTGTATACTGTGACTACCAAGCAACCACATGGCTTTTCATATGTTTGTGTGCCTGAGGTAATGACTCCTGTTGATAGTGCTCAAGCCATATCAGAGAGAGTGAGAACACTAGACCTTTGTTTCCTTCTTTTTGCACTGTTTTGCATTTTGCTTTCACTGGCTGGTGTCTCTGGGAGGGAATTGTATTGTTCCTTTCACCCTATCCTAGTTTCTGTTCTTCCATAGTCCTATTGCAGTGTCCAGAGCTGCTACTCTACTTCCTATTTTTTGGGGAGGGGATCCCTCCCTTTAAAGAGACTGTGACTATACCTACATGGCATGATAAATTCTTGGCTGCCTAAAATGATGACTGCCTATGAACAGCAAGTTTATGCTTACACTGAAATATGAGAGGGAGCTCAGAGGCAGATGGTATCGCTAGTGTGTACCAGTCTGTCAGAGATGAATCTCAGCCACTTAACTTGACTTTTATCCCCTTGTTAGAAGCAGAGAGAACAGAGTTACCTGTTGGTAGTAGCTCGAGGTGTACTCAGGAGGAGAGTTAATGTAGCAGGAGTCCAGTTTCCAAGCCAAAATCAGTGGGTGTGCAAGTTTGTAGCAGGGATAATTTAAAATATAACTGACTAAACCTGTGGGGCTTTTTATTTACTTTGGTGATGTTTGTCTTTTGGCTTTGCTCCTTCTCCCAAGGGAAACCAAAATATTAACACATACTTCTTGCCAAAGAAGTAAAAGTGCAATATGAAAACAGAGACCCATAACTCCCTGGCATGGGGAAAGAAAGGGTACCAAGCTTGCAGGGCTGTGTATTGTTCTGGCAGCAAAGAGAAATGGTGTTATATGTGGAGGCTCTTGGGCTGCTGGTGGGAAGGAGTGGGGAAGACAAGTGACAGATGCACTTGACCTAGGCTGTAGAAGATGCAAAGTATGAAGTTCTTCTAAAGTGACAATTTATTGGATCTTTCCTGTTTGCTGCAGATTAAGCAGAGAATCCGGTCAAATTAAGAATGTTACCTAGTACTCTTGAAGAGAGAAGGACCATTCTCAGATTTTTGTAAAAGATAGCTGTTGTGTTAATTACTATAGCCCTTGAGGTGACTTAGAGCACCTCTGTTGTTGCTAATATGGGAACAACTTTAGTATAAAATTTCCTCCCAAACACTAATTTTTGTATGTTGACTGTTGATTTCCTTCCCCCTGCTTTTATTTAGAGCTAGATGTGGCTGGGTTGTTGAGTTTAGTCAAACTTGGGTTTGGATTATTCTGGAATTGATTAACAAAGTTTGGATCCGAGTTGCTTGTCTGGCAAGTTAGTGGACTGCAGAGTCGTGTGGCTGACAGAAGTAGAGATAGACTGGTCAAAAGAGAATGACCATCATATTACTAGTCTTTTGTTTGACCAGAACAAAGCTTTTCAATAATAGGATTCAGGAGGTCAGTGTAGTGACTCAAAAAGGAGTAACCTTCTCTAAAAGAGGAATGGAGCTGCTAATCCCCATGTCACTGGAGATATGCTCCTGCTTTGCCTAAAACCATTGGATTCATACTGATGATGTCCGCTGCCAAAAATAGCAATTCAACTTTGCTGTCTCACCAACATTGTTCATATGGTTAGTTTCAGTCTTAACAATAAGTTGTGAAGCAGCTTGTACATATGTCTCCTCTTTTTTCACCCAGACCTTCTTGGGTGAAGAGTTTACGAGGAAGATAAATAGTCTTTCAGTTAGGTACTGAGGTATGCATAATGAAGTAACAGTGCTAGGATTCAGCAGATGTGGACTGGCAAGAGTTACAGCTGCAGTGTTGGGAAAATTTCATCAGCCCATCCAGTAAATATGTGTTTGAAGAGTTGCCTATATCCCTGAAGACTTTGATAAACTGTACCCTTCCGCTTGCTCTGTATTTGAATTAAGATTTGTAGTTTGACAATGATCCATTTATGTTAGAAACAAAATCTGTCAGGAATTCAGTACTCTTGGATCAGAATCTATTTTAGTTTTGCCCTAGCTCTAATCTCAATTGTTTCTCTTCAGAGTTTAGCATTTTAAACTTTCTAAGACTTTACAGTTTAGTTGAGCCAGTCAAATATCTCTAATCTGTAGAATTCCAATAAAGTCTAAATTTATTGTATAAAACTGGGGGTTTTAGCCTCTCTTTTTGCTGTTGTTAAAATGGGAGACAGACAAAATTTTAAATAATGGCTGCCATTTTAAGCAGCATGTTGTTTAGTTAAATCTTTTCATTATTGAGATGAGAAATGCTAAGTTCATGGGTTCTTTCTGATTGCATTTACTGGCAGTACTGTCAAAGCTAAGCCTATTAATTTGCTAGGAATGTTCTCAGGAAAAAAAATCAGTTAGGATATAAAGATGTGAGACTAACAGTTAAGTCTTCTGCCCTACAAAGTAGAAATGTGAATG